GAGAGGGCAGGGCGGGCCCAGCCACGCGGACCAGGGTCCACCCTGCTTGTCTGGACCGTGGTCGTGGCCTCCTCCCTTCCCGTAGCACATACTGACTGAGCACAGTCTGTTCCAGGCACTGCCCTCACGGAGCGTAGGTCCTCCTGGGACCCAGAGAGATCAAACAATGAAAAAACCTAAAAGCAAGCCAGCAAGTCAATAAATATAGGCCATTTCAGAGAGTGACGGGTAAGTGAGGAAAATTAGGGACGAGCTGGCCACGTGAGCTGTTCAGACGGAAGGGAGCGGAGAAGTCAGAGAACCACAGGGCCAAAGGCGGGAACCAGCGGAAATTTCCAGGGGCCTTCGCTCAGCGTTTGGGCTCTGGGCATCAGGGATGGGAAGGCCCCTGGACTTCCACGGTCAGCAACGAGAAAGAGGGGTCCGGGGGCTTTTCAGTGTAGGGAGGCCAGGCCCCACCCCTCTCACCCTCTTCCCTGACAGAGCCACAAACCCCCTTTCAACGCGCCCCCCCACCACCACCCCTCCCCTGGCTCACACACACTCCTGGGCCTCGGGGTCCCCACATGTGGGTCCCAGGACTGTGGAAGCCACGCACCCCCTCATTGTTTGGCCCTAATTTTGACAAAGTTCCTCCCAGGCGCGAAAGGTGGGTCTTATCTCCAACTCAAGGTCACCCAGTTTGTTAGATAGATACCCCCTTCTGTCTCGGGGAGGGGAACGCGCCACCTGCCACCTTCGCCCCTGGATTTATCAAACAGGCATGGGGGCTGCTAGTTTGGACCGGCTTCGACCTATGTGGTCCCTCCGGTCACCACTGGACCCCCAGACAGGCTGGCACCTGCCCCCTAATTACCCCCACCGAGCAGCTGTTGGCGGGCACTTAACCAGCGGGCTCTGTGGTGAACCGTTATTTGAATGACCTCATTTCCTCTCCCCACCCCTTCCACCACCGCCACCACCCGATGAGGGAGGCACGATGATCATCCCTGTTCACAGATGGGGAAACTGAGTCCCAGGCAGGCGGAGGAGCTCGTGCAACGCAGAGGCAGAGCTGGGATTTGAACCTGGGCAGCCCGGCTCCGCAGTCCGTTCTTTCAGGCGCCTGCTAAATGCTCGTGTCAGAGCTGACGCCCGACGGGGCATCTGAATGGTCGCCGACTCGGGAGGGTGCTGGGCACAGAGCAACTACAACCCAGATGGGCCCTGCCCTTCCCGCTCCCCACTCCTGGGAGACTGACCCTGGACCAGGGAGAGCAGTAGATGCGGCTTTGGGATAGCATGCATTTACTGGGCCCTTTCTGCACGCTACGCACTGAGCCAGACATTGTTCCCGGGACTCCCTCACAAAAGCCGTCAGAGGGGAGAACTGTTCTCTCTCTCTCTCTCTCTCTCTCTCTCTCTCTCTCTCTCTCGTCTCTAAATATATTTTTATTGATTTCAGAGAGGAAGGCGGAGGGAGAGAGAGATAGAAACATCAATGATGACAGAAAATCATCCATCGGCTGCCTCTTGCACGCCCCCCACTGGGGATCAAACTGTGATGTCTTGGTTCCTGGGTGGACGCTCAACCACTGAGCCACACCTGCCTGGGCTATTTTTCTCTCTTTTACAGTCGGGGGAACTGAGACTCAAACTGGTGTGTGTGTGTGTGTGTGTGTGTGTGTGTGTGTGTGTGTGTGTGGGGGGGGCCCGGGGAGGGGAGGGTGTGTGGATCACCGGACAGGAAATGGTGTGCAGATATTTCATCTCCCAGCACAGGCTCCTCGGGGCTTTCTTATCCAGTCTCTGGAGACCATCTCTTCCTTCTAGGAACAGGTCCCTGCTCTGAGCTAAGCCCAGCTCTGGGGAACGCGGCCAGGATTCGGGCCCTCGGGGAATTCCTGGTCAGGTGGGGGACCTGTCGCAGCGGAGTCAGTTACCCAGTATAGAGAGTAAAGACTCTGCTGTGGACAGTCAGTCAGGGAGGTCCTCCTGGAGGAGGGGGCATTTGAGTTTGGGCCCTGAAGAATGAGTAGGAGTTCAAGAGTTGGAGAAGCATGTTGCAGGCATCCACTTATATATTCTTCACTCATTCAGCAAATCTTTCCCAAGGCCTTGCCAGGCCAGACCCTGTGCTGGGAGATGCTGGGGACACTGACTTGAGTCAGACCCGGGCTCTGCCCTCATGAAACTTGGGATTGCCCTCCGCCAGGCCCCGAGCTGGGCTCGCTGGGGACACAGAGATGGGCTGCCCCGGCTCCTGCCTGCGAGGAGCAGGTTTATCATCCCTGTTCACACATGGGGAAACTGAGTCCCAGGCAGGCGGAGGAGCTCATGCAACGCAGAGGCAGAGCTGGGATTTGAACCTGGGCAGCCCAGCTCCCAGGAGGCAGTTGACCCTGATCCAGGTGCCCTGATGGGCATGAATCCAAAGTTCACCATCTCTCCCAGGAGAGGCCCCGCTATATTGAGTCCCTGAAGAAGTAGAAGCGTTTGATGGGAAACTATGAGACAGATGGACCAGGCTGGGCCCCACAGGCACAGAGGGAGGCCAGACCGGAGAGGGACACCAGGGCCCGCCCCTGGGCTGAGGGGCTGCGACTCTGCCCCGACGGCAGCAGGAAGCCACGGAAGGGGCCGGGCAGCTCTGTGCGTTGGAAAGACCCCTCCAGCCAGGCGGTTGTCTGTCTGTACTCCTGTCCGTACTTCTGTCTGCCAGGACAGTTGCCCAGGGTCCTGGCTGCTGGTGTGGGGTCCGCTCCTCGCCCCAGAGCCCTGGTGTGTGGGTCCAGCTCACGCAGTGGCTCCTGGCTGGCGCGGGGCTGAGCCCAGGAGCCCTGGTGCCCTCGGAGCTTGTGTGGCACCTTGGACAGCTCCCTCCTTAACCAGGGCTGGGTCCCCCTCCTTTAAACTGGAACAGTCGCTGCTAAGGGAAGGGGAGGTACCCCACAGGGGGCATTTAGCAGTGACTGGAGGCATTTCTAGTTGTCCCCACCCTGCGATGGGAGGAGCTACTGGGGTCTAGGGGGCCAAGGCCAGGGTGTTGCTACCCCCTTCCCTGGGCAGGACGGCCCCACAACGAGGAATCCTCCAGCGGAGTCAGAGGTGCCGCAGTGGAGACGCCCTGTCCAGGACATGTGTGACCAGCAGTGTGACAAATCCTGTGTGTGTGTGGGTGTGTGTGTGTGTGTGTGTGGCCATGTGTGATCTGATTGTAGGTGACAGCGTGACTATGTGCGCCTGATCCTTGGCCCAGAGCGGCCCCTTTGTAGTTCAGAGGCTGTGACGATGTGGCTGTGACATTGCACAGGCTGTAGCTTCATGCACGACATTCCAGAGTGGGGGGGGGGGGGGGGGGGCGGCCCTGGGGCTGGAGGTGTCACACAGGACTAGGCCAGCGTGTGTGTGTGTGTGTGTGTGTGTGTGTGTGTGTGTGTGTGAAGATGGCCCCCTGGGTAGGGCTGTGACTGTGTAGACTTTGCACCTGCGTGTGGGAGGCTGTTGGTGTCGGTGTAACTGTGTTGTTCTGTACATGGAGGGGGGGTGACTCAGGGTGGGATGCAGCTTGGCCTGGGGCTGTCCCCTCGGGGCCTGACTGGGGGTGCTCCTGAGAAAGACTTGTCTTTTCTCATGACTTTCCGCTGGGTGTGTCCCAGGCGGTGTGGTCACCCTGAGGGGGGCCCTGAGCAGGCCCCGCCGCCATTCACGTGACCGAGTGTGGGATGTGTCCTGGGCCTGGTGTCTGCGTGTGTCCCTGTGCGTGTCCATCTGCTCCCGGGGCTGTGTGTGGCCCTGTCCTCTCTGCACAGCTGGGGCGGACGGGCCCCTCCCTCCATCCAGGAGTGCCTGGGCGAGGCCTGGTGAGGGGCTGCCCACTGTGCTGGCTCTGCCCCAGCCCTGTCCTGAGGGGCTGCTGATGGAGAGGGCCCTCGGGAGTCATCGGGGCAGCACGGGCAATTAATTCATCAGATTAATTAGCTCCTCATCCCGGGGCAGGGCAGGGCCCTCCCTCCCAGGCGTCCAAGGTCATCCGGCCGCCTCCTCTCCCCAGCCTGGTGCATCTCCATCCGGCCGCCTCCACTGGCCCAGCCCCCACTCCTGGCTCCGGTCCAGCCCGCTGGCCACGGTCCATGGAGAGATGAATGGGTGGGGGTGGGGGCCCTGCCGGGCAATGGGGCCTGCAAGCTGCACTGGAGTGTGCAGGCGGGCAGGGGCCTGTGCCCGCGAGAGTGCGTCCGGGTGAGCAGGGACACACGGGTGTGTCTGTGTAGACTCGTGTGTCTGTGAAGGTTTGTGTGTGGCTGTGCACCATGCCTAAGCGTGTGTTTGTGTGTTTGTGTTAGATGTGTGTGTGCACGCGCATGCATGTGCATCTGTGTCTGTATGTCTACGTGTGCATGTGTGGGTGTTAAGTGCATGCAGCCAGCTCCATACGTGTGTGTTTCCATGTATTTCCGAGTTAATGTGTGCACGTGTGTGTCTGCATGTGTTGGTTGCATAGCTACATGCTTCTGTGTGTACTAGTATGTGTGTATCTGTGTACTCGTGCATCTGAATATGTGTGCCCATGTCCATCTGTGTGTGTGTATATGTGCATCTGTGGATATGTTTGTTGCATTTGTGTATGTGTGTCTGCCCATGTATATGCATCTATACATTTTTAATCTGTGCATGGGTCTCTTCACTGTGAATACGTATGTGTGCCTGTGCATACATGTGTGTGCATTTGTGTATGTTCACATGTGTCTATGCATGTATACATACCTGTGTGTATATGTATGTGTCTCTGTAAGCAGTACCTGTGAATGTATATGTTTGAACATGTGTGTTTGGTGTACATGTGCCTTGCATACATGTGTGTTCGTGTGCGATGATTGGGGTGTGGTCTCAGTGTCTCGGGAGGGTGTAGGTTTGTGTGTCCTGGTCTGTCTGAGTCAGGGTGGGCTTGTGGGAAGACACATGTTGTGTGTGTCCTCTGAGTGTGTCTGCCGTGTGCGTTTCTGGAATCATCAGTCAACATGTGTGTGGTGGGTGTGGAGAATGTCTGTGTCTGCGAGGGCACACGTGTGTGTGTGTGTGTGTGTGTGTGTGTACAGGCACAGTGCCCGCTGTGCTGAGCTGGCCTCCCACCCACAGGGCTGCTGTCCCAGAGCCTGGAGTTCAGCTCTCCCGCCGACAACTACACAGTGTGCGAAGGCGACAATGCCACCCTCAGGTACGGGCCTCGGGCTGCAGGCCTGCCTCTCACCTTCCCTGGGGAACACAGTCCCGGCCCGACACAGCCGTGCTCCTGTCAGGAGAGGCCATCAGGGCGCGGGCTCTGGGCCTTGGTGTCCCTGTCTGTCCAATGGGCGGGGGCGTGGTAACCACTGTGTCCGTTGTTGCGGGAGTCGAGGTTCTGTAAACACCCCCCGAGCGAGAGAGCAGCACAGTGTGGCTGCTGAGTCAAGGAGAGCCAGGTCACCATTCCCAGACCTCGGCCTCTGCCCACTCTGGGTCCCTGTCCCTTCCCTCTGGGTCTCGGTCTCTCTCTCTCTCTCTCTCTCTCCTCTCTCTCGTCTCTGTCCCCCTCTCTCTGGTTCTCTATACCCCCCTCTCTCGGGTCCCTGTCCCCTCCCTCTGGGCCTCTCTCTCTCTCTCTGTCCCTGCTCTCTGGGCCCCTGTTCCCCTCTCTCTGCATCCCTGCCCTTCTTTCTCTGGATTGTTATCCCCCTCTCTCTGTGTCCCTCATCTTGATGCATCTCTGGGTCTTCCCTCATCTTGATGCATCTCTGTCCCTCGCTCCCAGTGTGGCCGCCCTCCTCTTTCTGAGTCTCCGGCACAACAGTCACTTCATCACCGGCAGCCACCACTCCATGCTCATTTGAGTTCACAACTCTCCCTCTCGGGCCTCAGTTCTCCCACCTGTAAAGTGGGCACAGTCACCTCTGCCTCCCAGGGCAGGGCTCCCGTGGGACCTGGAGGTGGAGTGGGCCTCCCCCCAGTCCCAGTCCCTCCCAGCCCCTGCGATGGGAGCCCTCTGGGACTCTCTCTCTCTCTCTGTCCCTGCTCTCTGGGCCCCTGTTCCCCTCTCTTTGCATCCCTGCCCCTCTCTCTCCGGATTGCTGTCCCCCTCTCTCTCTGCATCCCTGCCCCTCTCTCTCAGGTTGCTATCCCCCTCTCTCTGGGTCTGTGTCCCTCATCTTGATGCATCTCTGTCCCTCGCTCCCAGTGTGGCCGCCCTCCTCTTTCTGAGTCTCCGGCACAACAGTCACTTCATCACCGGCAGCCACCACTCCATGCTCATTTGAGTTCACAACTCTCCCTCTCGGGCCTCAGTTCTCCCACCTGTAAAGTGGGCACAGTCACCTCTGCCTCCCAGGGCAGGGCTCCCGTGGGACCTGGAGGTGGAGTGGGCCTCCCCCCAGTCCCAGTCCCTCCCAGCCCCTGCGATGGGAGAACCTGGAGGGCCTGGCTGGGG